ATACATACATACATACATACATACATACATACATAAAAGGATTGTTCAAACCATGTGATAGGAATTATAAGATAGAGGCTTTCACCCTGTCCTCAATTCTTTCTTTACTGTTGTAGCTGAAGCAGCCAGAGGCATGCTGGGTTCTTCTGTTTCTCCACAGATTGTAAGTTTTCCCTGCTTCCAAAGCTATGTGGCACCAAGCAATCAGGATTTAAGTTTTAAGTTTTGTAGGGTTTTTTGTTATTGTGGTTCCTGCATCTACAAGCCCTGTAGCCATTTCCAACAACCTCATCAAGCTCTCCTTTAGAATAGTCGACATTTTCTTAAAACATATGCTTTTTTTCTCCCAGATGTTCTTATATCAGCTATAAATAAGCCTGTCAGAAATTGTGGTAAATATTATCATGATATAATAAGAACAAACATTCTGGTAAACATTCGCACAATATTAAAAGAGGTTTCCGTTTCAGATACAGGATTTACATATTCCGTTTATTCACCATTGTTTGTTGAAGAAGTCCCAGGTGGCTGAGTTCATATCTTGAGATACTATCTAAACAGTGTTTTACAGACCTTTATGGCTAGTTAACACTTGCTGAGCCAAAACTAACAATCTATAAATCCAAGCAGAATCTTTGTTTCAGGATGCCTCAAGTAATAGGCAAAAAATGCAAAGTATGCAAAAATTGTATCCTTTAATTGCAACAGCCTCTGTGCATAAGTTGCACAAGCTCATAAGCCTGAAGATTCATCAGGAAAAACTGACGGAGCAGCATTGCTGTACATCAATGAGTATAGCGTAAGAGGGGAAACAATTAATCATGAATACTTCCTATGATGTGGTCAATTCAGTTAGTTTTGGATAGTTTATGTTTGTTTTCCCCAAAGGTTTATAACTTTTTAATAGCTTTGGAATATCTTTTTCACAACACTGGTATAGATTTCTGTTGGCAGAGCTTGCCATGGTGCTCTGACAGTGGTAAGCAGCTATAGGCAGGCAAAAATACATCAAGGAGTAATTTGGATACTTGGATACAAGATGTAGAATATGGAAATCGTTTTATGGACACTGAAGAAGATCTGTTTTTTTGTTTTTGTTTTTGTTTTTTTCTGATAGGTGTGCAGAAAAAAGCAAAACAAGCCGGCAAACCTATCTTAGGGAACTATCATATGAGACAACAATAATACAATATTTTTACAAAAGTGAGTGCTGTTATATTCAGTTGTGCTTATTTCCAGGAATGTTGCCTAAGCATATGTGACAAGTCCCTTTTAAAAACATTTTTGTTGATAGTTATGTAAAATTCTAAGTAGAATTTAATTTGACAAAAATGGGGGACAGACAGAAACTGACAAGTGAAAAACAGTAGTGCAAGCAATTTGTTATAAAGGTAAAGACACTCTAAAACTGAGTTCAGCTCCTAATGGCTTCATGGACACTTACATGCACTTTTACATAAACATAATGCAGAAATAGTTTGCCATTGCCTTCTTTAAGACATTTTTGTTTGTTTTTCTTTGTTTACTTCCCAGTCTAGATTACAGCCCTGGTATTTCTTGGTTGAGCCAGTTTGGTGTAGTGGTTAAGGCACCAGACTAGCAATTGGGAGACCATGAGTTCTAGACTTGCCTTAGGCACGAAGCCAGCTGGGTGACCTTGGGCCAGTCACTCTCTCTCAGCCCTAGGAAGAGGGCAATGGCAAACCACTTCTGAAAAATCTTGCCAAGAAAACTGCAGGGACTAGTCTGGGCAATTGCCAAGAGTCAAAAATGACTTGAAGACAAAAAATAAAATAAAATAATAAAATAAATTCTTGATTGCCTCTAATTCAAATACTGCCATACTTGACTTTGCAAGATCAGCTTAAGTTGGCCATGTGCCTATTAAATAGTCATCCTTCATTCTCTTCTGTAAAATTTCAAGTATAGTTCTTTGTCCAGTCAATGGAAAACAAGCAAATGAGAGAGAGAGATGAGATGCTTTTATCTAAAGTAAGGTAAGGACTCGTAAACAATTCAGAATGCAAACCAATAATTGTGCTGAGCTAAAGGACACTCTTCCTCAGTTATCTTGCACTGATGTGTAAAGTAATTTAGATAAATGCACTAATATTTAGTTTTGGCATTTAGCTCAGTTTTACCTGAGCTGGTAAGATATGTCTTTCATGTGACAGCTGTAAAGTCCTTGGAACATCACCCCAAGGGAGGACACGTCAAGAGTTTTAAGAGAGATATCTATGAGTAGAATTCAACTACAGGAGCCCTTTTTGTTATGCTATAAGCTTCAATGCTGTTGCTTGGCTATTGCTAATACATTGTAATTACTAGACATAGAAAAGTGCATGAGAGGTTTCCCATTGGAGGTGCTGAGAAGCATGGGGGGAGTGGGGGGGGGGAGGAAAAAGTGTCTCTGCTTCCACTTCTGCCCTAGCTCATGCAAAGCACCAGGATATTGTGAGAGGCTGTTCATCTGCAGTAATTCTCTTCTCCCTCTAGGACTTGGGGGCTGCTTTTAAGACAGATTAAATTATTGGAAAAGTAGACTTTCTTATCCACTGCCTGGATAGATTTACAATAGACCAGACTCATGCTTCATGCTAAGGCAGGGTTTCTTGAATCATAATTTACTGAATAGATATTATGATTTTATTTCCTATTACTTCCACTGGAGTTGGGCAGCTGATAAATTTAAACAAACAAGCAGATAAATAAAACTTATGTGAGGTATGAGTGCTGGAGATAATGGAAAATGTATTTCTACCAAGTGCAAATTTATGTTTGTGTTAATGTCTTCTTGTTTTTATGCCTCCTATGTAAAAACATTGTGGACATGTGTGAAATTGTGGTGGCCACAAGGTGTCGTTATTGTCTTCCACAAGACCTTAACTTTGCTAATACCCTGAAAGGAGTCTTCCTTTGTATTATACTTTTTTGCTAGTCTTTATGGATTGTAAATGCCCAAACTTACGTATCTTCCAATGAGATTTACTTCTAGATAAACGACCATTGGGATTGCAGGCTAAATGACTGAAACCAAAAGCTTACGTTTTATATAAAATATCTAGGTATCATCAGTTGTCTACTAAAAATATTTGAAGAATGCTGTATATCTGCTTCATTTAATAGCAAGGGAATCTTGACATTTGTGTATAAAACTAAACATGACAAGTTTTCTTTAAAAAAAATTAAAAATGTGAAGATAATTTTGGATTTGATGAATTCCATTGGAACTTTTTGTGCCTTCAAATTTATTTCAGCAATTCATGAATGCAAATTGTTCATAGGTCTGATAAAACTGGACTATTTAGTTGTAATCTATAGTCTGTGTTCGCACAGCAACATCTGTAATAATACATGAAGTCAAAATGATGTGTGTCATGATATGATTGTGCAAAGGATACTACTCAGTACTTGGGTCACATCATCTGATGCAAGTACATAAACTCTGCCATTGTCACCACCTCCACACACTTGTGTGTTGGTGGAATTGTATGCAAATTGGCACCTATTATATCAGGGGTGGCAGTCCCCAATTACTCAGTCCTTTGGTTGAAAGTTTCTGAAAAAATATGGAAAATTCACCAACCAGTAAAGTGATGGGACAAAGGATCCTTCTGTTGGTTTATTGTCTGTATTCCTCCTGGTATATATATTAATATAAGAAATCAATTCAATTTCTGTTGCTACTGCAGAACTCTGGGAAACTAAAAGATATTTTTCATAAGATCAGTGGTTTTTATAAGTATGAGAAAATCTCTGAAAAAGTGACACAACAATAAAGACCTTTGAGAAATGCTACAATAAAAGATAAATGTACTCACATCTAGTCACCACTTAATAACTGTGTTAACAATGTTTTTCCTAATCACTACCTTCATCTGTATAAATGTCATTCTGAACAGATATATATAATATAGTACTTGTCTCTCTCCATGTATATTCCCAATATATTTTTCCTTTGGTTGCTTTTATTAAAACGTCTTTGCTAGCATCACTACCGGAGAAAGGGTTTTGAATGACTTTAGTGTGTGTGTATTTGAATCCATCCTGTGTTTACTGTTAAGTGACATCTCCTTGCAATAGGGAGAAAAAGAATGGACTTGGTCCACAGGAGAGGACATATCTGACATGTTTTCAAGGGCCTTTTTAAAAACATCACTCAGGATGTTAATGAAGTACTTTGCTTATTACACATTTTCACCATTCAGTGTACCCATTTATCCTTCCACTACTTTTTTTCAGCAATAACCCTCGGGGGTTGGTTTCATTAAGCAATATTAACTGGCGCAAGGTCATTGCTTAGTTTCAGGGATGAGTGGGGATTTGTGCTTGGATTTTCCTAGTCTAACACTAGACTGCATTATCTGGATTTTTCTTTCTTTTTGTTTCTGCATTTTATAGCAAGAAATAGGTAAGTGGGCTCTTGCAACATTACAGATATTCAGCTCTGACTGGCAGTTCTCCGCCTTTTTATCCCCAACACAGGAAAAAGAGCCCAGTGTTTTTTAGTGAAGAAGAAATTTCTGCCTTTCTCCAGGCTCCGTGTAATGGCAATGAGGTATATTACAGTAATCTTCTTAATGAATGGGCACAGACAGACATCACCTCTGTATATAGACTTGGTATGTCTCCATATCTCTTGATACTGCCTCTTTCTAATGTCTATTCCTTGTTGTTCCCAAGTTTTTTATTTCTCCCCATTTTATATACCATTCATCTTCTGACAGAATATCACTTTTGAAAAATACTCAGGAGATAGTTCGAGGTCATGTTGATGATCTGTATGTACTTTATTTGCTAGTAGTACATTCTAGCAGGAGGAGGAGGAGGTATGATAAGGAAGATATAATCAAGGCCATCAGTTTGGTTCATCTATAACACTAAGTCCTACTTCCCCAGTGTGATCCTGTAGATGCGCTTGTACACCTCCTTGCTGCTCCTCAGGCTTCATGCCCTACACCCCACTCAATTTTATTTATCACCTGTTAATCTGTATTAACAGTTATACTCTGCTACATCAAAGGCCAGTTAAATAATGTGAATGAACAGAATTTCTATTGTTTTTAATGACATTTTAAATGTAGAAAATGAACAAGTTGATCTAATTCAGAATTTATACTCTCCCTTCATTGTAGTGCACTCATGTGGCTTTGTATTCCTTGTGCTCATCTTGTTCTTTCCTTGGAGCATATTTCCCAAACTTAGATTAGACTTCATTTTTTACTTTGTATCTTTTGGATGAAGCAACTTAAGATTTTTGTTATAGTGCCAGGTTTGAAGTTTGACCTTTGAACTTGTAGTGGATTCCTTTTGCATATTTCTCTCCTTTTTCTTGTTTACACAGATGGCTTTGAACCTATTGTGATGTACCCACAAACACCATCAGGTGAGTATGGATGAAAGGGAAAGTGGGGTGCTTTTTTCCCCCCCTGAAATGTGTCACCATAAAGAGAAGCATTGCTTTGTGGTTTATTCATCTTTTTCAGATGCTGTTGTACATGGACATAAAGATGGCTGGATGTTTGAAGGTTGGGGGAAGCAATCTTATGATAGTTTATCTACTCATACTGATTCTGAACAGTCCACTCCAGGAGGTGAATCTTCACCTTCCACCTGTGAACACTTGCCTTTGCCAGGACCAGATGACCTTGATGACCCCAAGTTCTTTATTGATCTAAATGCTGGGCACATGGAAGACTCTGATGTGTTTGATCCTATATTGACCTTCCTCAATCAAGATAGCTATGTGGCTCATTTCCAAAGTCTGTATGACCTCTCTTTTTCCTTCCTCAGTTCTACCTTCTATGGTTTCACCAATGAGGAGGAGCTAGTCATATATTTGGAAACATCCAGGAACTGGGCCAAGAAGGGTCACCTTGCTTGGGCTCATATTCGGATATGTTATCTTTTGGGCCGTCTCTGTGTCAGGAAGGCCAAGTTCTCCCAAGCACGAGTCTATTTTGAGGAAGCCATGAATACTATGGACAAGGGGTTTGAAGATCTACCTCTACTTACATCATTGCATGTAAACCTTGCTGCCATTTATCTAAAGCAAAAGATGAAGCAAAAGTTCTTATCTGTGATTGGGAAAGGGATGACACTTCTGGTCTGCTTGTCTGGACACTGCTTCAGTTCTGAGACTGAACTAGAGGTTGTGATGTACATCCTGAGAGAAGCCATTGCTGTAGGCAACACTGCAATGGAAGTTCGGTCCTGCTTCCTCGTTGTCAGGCTCTTCTTGCAGCTGGGCAAGTATGATGAGGTCCTTCCTTTTGCAGAACGCTTGCAGTTCCTGAATGCACATTTCACCAGCCAGATTACCAATGTACCTCCTCTAGATACAATGCCTGTTCTTGCCAACCTATATGAAAAAAAGTACTTGCCCCATGTAGCTTTGGCATCTGCCAGGATGTTTTCCCCCAGCAATATAAAAGGTGGCCTGACACCCATCTGGAGAGCTGGATTCATCCTTGCAAACACCTCGAAACTCTTGAAAGTCCAAGGGAAAAGCAGCCACAGCATCTCAGCTTTGGCTTGCTTCTATCTGCATTGCGGGTTGGCCTTTTCCCATGAAGCTGGGGCTGTATCGACTGAAAAAGCCTTGTGTGCACTTTTATCCAAATTGTACCTCAAGCATGGCATGCTACAAAGGGCTGTGCATTATTCCAACCAGGCAGTTACCCTTGGCAAAGTGATGGCTGAAGAAGAAGCATTTGAATCATCCCTTTCTCTGGGGTGGCTGTTTATTTTGAACAGTCAGCCGGAAAAGGCATCAGAGATTATGTGGTACCTCCTGTGTTCTCTGCGGCAGACAGACAGTGTCACACAGGATGGGGTGGTTCACAACCTTTTAGCCATTGCCCTTAAAAGAGAAGGGCAGATGCAGAAGGCAGCAGAGAACTACTTATGGGCCTTGAATAAAGCCCGGGAAAATGGAAATCAGCGGAATCAAGCCATTGCCTTAGCCAACTTTGGTTGCCTGGTCACATCTTTGGGGGCTTACTACTTAGGGGAATACTATTTTCTCCAGGCCATTAAGGTGTATTTTGAACTCCAGGATGGTGATGATACACAGATTGAACTGGTGCACATTTTGTTATGGTTGGCTCAGTCCAAGCTGGAGAGGTGTAAGGCAGAAGAAGGCATAGTCTTTTATGAGTTGGCCTTGGCCATTGCCTTGAAGACTCAAAATGTGATAAGTGAGTACTTATTTTTAGGGGAAGTTGTTCAAAGGAGTAAAGTGTGTTATTTACTTGGCAACTTTTTTAAAAAATCTGTATCTTACCTGATGCTATGTAGGTCAACTTCATGTCACTGAGTCCCTCTGCCATTTCTATAGTAAAGTGCATCCTGATACCAGAGCCTGCATTGTATACCATGAGCACCAGGTCCTCCTAGCTCAGCAACTCCAGGACAGAGAAAAAGAAGGACATCTTCTACAGGTCCTCAGCCAACTCTACCAGAGTTTGCATACACCCAGGTAAGTCAGCTTTGAAACGACGACTAGGACTAGAGATGTTACAATATTTTGAACAATATTTCAGTTTCATTGGATTTTGTTATTAAGCAATTTCCTTTTATCATTTTTAAGTGAAAAACAATAATATTTAAATCATGAAATTCTACAATATTGTTGTCTTTAAGCCCAAATGGCATGAGTTCTACTGTCTATAATGCATTGAACACTGGATCACAAAGCAAATCATGTGCTCTTTTCAAAAAGATTCATTGGTTTTTAATGTGTTCTTTGCCGTTGTTTTTAATGTCAGATGATTTGAACATTTAGGAAAGAAATAAGAAATATCTTAATACAATAAATAATACTAATTTATTGATATTATTAGATTACATTTATCATTTAGGAAGAAAGACACATTCTCCTGTGTTTAGCTGTCTTGTTCTCTGGGAAAATCGGCACAGATTAACATCTGTTGCACTTTAAAGAGGAGCATGTTTTGTCTTGGTAGGTCAGAAGTCACTTCATCAGTTGTACAACATGTTCACTTGCCAGATAAATACAGATGAGAGAGAGAGAGAGAGAGAGAGAGAGAGAGAGATCTTGAATGTAGGGAAAGGGCCAAAAAGAAAATATGTACACAGACTTCCTCTGCTTAAAAGAAAGGGATAGAAACAATTCTGCACTCAGATGCAGAATGTCAATATATTTACTGTGAATTCAACTCAGACCTTATTTGTTAATAGATGTAGTTGTATTTGTGTGCCTTATTACAAATGGCTCAAAGAAACACATTGGACCTACATAGAATAACCAGGATCCAAAGAGAAGTGTGTGCATGCACAGGAGAGAATGATATAAATCACCAGAAATTTCAAGCTGGGTTTGCCACAGTGATTCACTTGCTTAAAAGACAGGTTGCTCCCTTTTCTTTTTTCTTTTAATAAATAATTTATTTAAAACATTTAAAGAACATAATAAATAGCTACATAAAAGGGGAAAAAAGGTAGGAAAAGTTATGGTGGATGAAGGAAAAAATATCAGCAAATAAACAAGGATTTATAATTATCATAACATTTAAAATTCATAATTTCGTTAATCTGTTAATTAAATGTATAGAACTAGGTTCATTATATCATCTTAAGAAAAGACTTTGAATCTCTATAAAATTCTATACATTAATATTGATGTCACAACTATTTGTCATTGTTCCAGAAATAAATGCACATAATCATATAAAAGAAAGAAAAAGGAAAAGGAAAAAAAAAGAGAAAAAATTGAAAAAGAAATAATAAAAAAGGAGAAAACTCAGTAAAAACAATATTAAGTTCTAAACTTTCCATTGTACCTGACTGGTGATTGCATCAAAATACCTTGTCAGCCCTCCAAGGTAGACCAGATTAGGAAACCAAAGTTATGTATGCTAATACTACGTTTATTACAAATTTATAGTAACAGAATCTTGCAAGTCGGAATGTGCTTCCCCCCCTCCCATCTGCGTGAGAACTAGGAAGGGTCTTGTCTGAAATGCTTACTCCAGTTACAGATCTGCCCCGGACCCAGATTTCTTTTATCCAACCATTGTCTTGATAGTGGCTCTTCCTCCTGTTCCTCAAGATTATTCCTTCTTTCCACTGCATAGTTATCAACACTGAAGTTGCTTCTGATTACCTACTTCAAAGGCATTTTGCTCCCTTTCTCAAAAGCAATATGTTTCTTCTGAACTAGGCAGTGCTGAAGGGAGTACAAAAGGGGAGAGGGAGTGTTAGAAGTCTTTCATTTGCAGGAAGTCAGAGGGCAAGGTTTTAAGCATATCCTGTTCTGAACTGCTTGGAGATAGAATGAGAGGTGAGTAATCTTGATAAATTCACTAGAAGAAAAGGGTACACTTCAGTAACGTAGCCATTATTGACTTTGGATGCAAACAGCAAATGGGTTTCAGAGATGGAGGTGCCCCAAGGGTCCAAAGATGCGTCTACCCTCTTGATCCCTGAAGATTGTCACTGATTCATCTGCAGTGCTGCCTGGTAGTTGCTCTGTAATCTGGAGCCTAACCTTTGAGGAAAGGCATCTAAAAAGCAGAATGAATAGCAGCGCCCATATCTTACAATGAAGGCAACCATCAGAATTCTCTAGCTTCAAACGCTCATGGGCCACATAAACAAATAAGTACAAAGAGATCGGTGGCATATGATCATGCCCCTTTGGATGAATAGATGTGCCTTCCTGAATGTATACTGCACAAGGGTTGATATGAATGGAAGATAATAAATCAAAAGTGATGCTGCTTGAAATCTTTTGAGGAAGAGGGAAATGAATACGCCAAATAAACTAAGGAGAATAGATTGTTTTCTGCTTGGATTCTCATCTTTCTTGAGGGTGTTGTGCTTAACTCCATTAGTAAGAACGCAAATACCTGAAGGAAGCTGGCTGCTCTATTAACCTGCCCATGAACTCACCTGCTTGGGCTTTCTCTAGCTGTCCGAAATCTTGGAAACTGTCTCTTCATAACATGATCTTTTTGGCATTATAACAAAAGGCAAATAACCTTTTTCCTTATTACTTTTTAAATCGTTTGGATGTGTTTCTTGCAGCTTACAGTTGCGGTTGTGGCTTTTATTGTTTAAAGTTAAATATTTTGTATGTACAGTTTGTGTATGTAGTTTTTTTTTTTTTTGAAAATTTGTATATTGCCCTGAAACTAATGTGGAGGGGCAATATAGAAATGTTATAATACATAAATGCACACACACTCACACACAAAGACAGCTGTGCACATTCTGGTGCTTAAGCTGATTTTGGCATTTGGTGTAGGTGGCAAGTTAAGCTGAGGATGACACTCTGGAGGAGGTTCCAAAAAAGTATACTATTTTTAAAGGCATCATTTAACGTTGGACTTGCAAACTGCTGCTGCAGTACCTGCAACGGACGCTGGGATGCTCCTGAACCTGGATGCTGGCCTTCCTGTGCAAGGCCAGGGTTTACTCAGAGGCAAGGAATGTAAAAAGCCTGTGCTTGTTCTTAGAGCCCCATTGTTCAAGATGACAGGGTGCATTGGAGAAGTAAGGATGCATAGTGGAATGGACTTCATATAAAATAACAGCTCCAATGTATCTATGGTCACCTTTCAATTCATTCTCATTATGCCCTCTTGCTACAGATCCTGCCCTCTTCCTTCATATTTGCTTTCCATAGATGATATGCCTTCTTTTTTCTGTGTACCATTCAATAACTAGCATTAATGTTTGGTGGTAGTAGAAATCATAGAAAGAAGAACCAGTATTAGGAGTGTGCATGTAGGCATGCCCTCTAATAACAGGCTGTGCGATGCCTCTTCCTGTTTAAGGAACTTTCACACTCCAGAGATGATATGAGTACTCTTCATATCAGATTGGGGAAAATTATTAGCAGCTTGGGATATAGTGATTGTTTTTTTCTCATGGGATATTGGGAATCTGTCCACCTTTTCATCTGCAGTGAATTCTAAAGAAGCTCAGAGCCAGCTAATGGTGGTACTGTTGGAATGGTGACCTACCTACCTTCCTTCCTTCCTTCCTTCCTTCCTTCCTTCCTTCCTTCCTTCCTTCCTTCCTTCTTCCCTCCCGCCCACTCTCCCTCCCTCCCATTCCCCTGCAGCCCAAGTTTAGTCCCTGGCAGTCCTCGTTTACTTGGGCTATTTAGAAGCTGGGGTAAAATCCTTCTACTTCACGTGACAGGAAAAATGATAACATAGTGCACCAGTGAACTTATTTTTTTTAAAAAAAGAGGTAAAGTAGGTAGGTCAGGGGAAAAAAAATAGTAATTAAAATGTTTCAGCTAAAGTTTGAACCAGTGATGTTCTATGCACAGATAACCCATACACTGCAATATGAGGGCAACACATCCCAGGGTAGTGGTGTTCATAGATGCACATTTCATATGTGTCATGTGTAGTGAACAGGGCATGAATCAGCCTGAGACTCATTCCATAGTCAGTCTCCAGTATGGCAGTAGGTGAAACATATACCACACAGTGTGACACAGTTTTATCATGAAAACATCAGTGGCAGTCCCAGTTGTCCTTGCATCAAATGTGATATCTTTAGAACAAGGGCTTATTTAAAGGTCCATCTGCTTTAAAGGGGGAAAGAATTCAACCTATGTGAAGGTCACAGCACGGTTTCTTGAAAATGATGTTTTATAGTGGGTCAAAATGGGGTGGTTTGTTTTGAGCATGCATGAGTTTCCCTAGTTTCCTTGTAATAATGAAATATTTGTAATAATGCATGTGAATCCAACAGATCTTTGAAACAGGCATTGGACTGTACCAAGCAGAGCCTCAGAATATTTATTGACCTGGAGGAAACTGTTAAAACAGCCCAGGCCTGGCTGCAGGCTGGTAGGCTCTACTATCAAATGCAAGAGAATGAACTTGTGGAAATGTATTTACAGGTACCTAAAAATGTTATTTTATAAGTTTGTATCCTGCTGGCATGAAACTTGGCCCTTTTTAGAGTTTGTAGCTTTTTACTTAACCACTTTGTCGAAGTTTATTGCAAAACTGTGATTTCAATCATTGAAAAACATACATCTCTTGACTGCTGGGGGAAAAATAATTGCCTTGACATCTTTAAAAAATATGAATTTTCATCGGTGTCTAGCACATGAGGATGCTGAGTCAGTGTCTAACAATAAAAGCAGCACTAACCATGGCAGTAAATATCCCTCTAGTTAATAGATATAGATTGGATCTTGGCTGACAAGAAGACCTTCTGCATTGCACATGTGCAGGTTTTATGCTCATAGCTTTACACAAAAAATACAATTGCATATTGCACACTGATAAATGGTCATCCTAATATTTTATCCTGAAAGTCTATGACCTTCATTATTCATTATGTTCATTGATTTAATATCGTGAGTTATTCTAAATTGTGGTATTAGAAACAGCTCTATTTGTGGGCATAGAATTTAGATTTATAAGCGACATTTAGATTTGTAGCATGATGGGTTCAGAGATTTGAGTGCTAAAAAGTAAGAGGGGGTTGAATAGAACAGCATTAAAGTGATATACATCAAACTACAAAAAAAAGAGAGAACTGAATGTTATGAAGTAAAATAAGGGGGTATAAAATCCCTGAGCAATGGGGATCTCATCCTATGGAGAGATTTTTGAATCTTTTGCATACCTGTTTCCCCCCTTTTCCTTCAGAATTACAAGGTCTCTGTAAACTGAAGTAAAAAGCTGTCATGAAGTTCTTCTGTATTTTGTTATGTATAAGAATCTTACAATGCGCACAGCTAAACTGAAATGTCTTGAGTTCTTTGGAGCAAACAAGCCTTCACCCTGTTTCCATGATGCTATTGCCTCAGCTGCTAACCTCACTGATTCCCCTTTCCAGGCATCCGTAGAGACAGCCTTGAAACCCAAAGAGCTGCACCTGGCCATGGGATTGTATGAAGAGGCAGGAGATGTCTTCTTCAATGGGACCAAGAACAGGCATCAGGCAGTGGAATATTACAGGGTACAAACTACAGGATTTATTTGTATCAACATCTCTAGAGGTTGCCAGTACTGGGTGTTTCTAACCTTGGAAATTTCTAATGGAAAGAAACTGTGCAGAACTAGAAAGTGGAAAATGAGGTTTGTGTCAGACAGAGATCATGGGGAAAAAAACGCCAACCCACGCCAGTGATTCCTTCTATGCCTACATGCCAATGTTGCTGGCTGAAGCTAAGCGTACTGGAATCTGAGGCTATAGTTAAGCATGGAGGTGAAGGTCAGAGGACCACCGATTATGTTGTGGCTGTCAACTGTGGAAGCAAGATGTTGATGAGGAATTTTCTTGCTGTCATCCTTTTATCTCATTCACGCCTTCGTGATAGAGCATATGCTTTGACTGCAAAAGGTCACTGATTCAATCCCTGATACCTTCAGGTAATACTGGAAAAACACCTTCTTAGAAACCTGGAGAGCTGCTGCTGATTGCTAGGGTCAAAAATGCAGTCCAGTGCAACTGTGACATTTGACAGCTTGCTGGTGGTCCTTGCAAGAAGTGTCTCTCCCATGCTAAGCTAAAGGATGCATTCTAAAAACCTTATTTAATTGTCTTAACTATGAAGTAGCCAGGAGTTCTCTTTCTTGTGTGTTTTTCCCCTTCTCTTAATAACAAAAACCTTACCATCTCTTTTTAAGTGTTTGAAGCACTAACAAAGTTGTTTTTTAAAAAAAGAAAGAAAAGAGAAAATGTCTAGGCCTTTCATCTTTAAAAGTAAGAAATGAACATTTTTTTAAAAAAATTACCCACTCCCTGAAAGTTATCAATTCTATAATGGGCTGATTGATCCAACAGTAACTTTTTCTTTCATATTAAACAGTATGTGCAAACTGTATTGAATTTATAGTGACAGAAGGTTTTAATTTAGCTGAATTAAATAGACCAAATCAGTTTCTAGGCAAAAGCCAAATGGGCAGGCATCCAGTTACAGAAAACAAGCAAACAAAAACCAAAATGATCTCAGGTTCATCTAAAGTTCAGGAGAAGGTAAAATAAGAGTCGACCAAAGTTATGTTTACTCTTATTACCTATTGTAAAATGATAAACCTGAAAACTGTGAGGCATGTTCATTTCAGTTATAAGAAGCTATGGAATATTATTATCAGAGTGACTGAATGCGAGGTCATGTCTTCTTTGCTTTGCATGACCTCTCTGAGGGGCTAATTTACAGCAAGGACATGTTGTTGGCTGCAGGGGGAAGATGGATGGTAGGAAGTTATGAAGCCACATAACAAATTGTTTGATGTTTTTGCCAGGGAGGAGCTATACCTTTGGCCAGGAAACTGAGAGACGTGCAGACGGAGTTGAGAGTATTCAACAAGCTAGCTGAACTGCAAATTGGGCTCCACAATTATGAAAATGCTTTGGAATTTGCTACCTTAGCGGTCAGACTCAGCGTGGATGTAGGTAGGAAGGAATCAGGATTTATTACACTGGAATATCTAAGCCATGTTCTGAAAGTTGTCAATGATCTGTGAGTACCCCACATCTCTTAGAAGTTGCTGCTACACAAGTCAATTTAAAATATTCAAGTTGACATCAGTAAATGTGTAAAAAGGCACAAAATCTCATCACAAAGGTAAGTAGACATTTAGTATGCTTGACTTCATTTAAAATCAAAGAAATAGCTCTTCACTGATTTGGTGAATTTACAGCTACTAAGGAAGAATTACCAAATAAATTTATCCTTCCTCAGACAAAGCCTTTTAATGTCCCAGCCAAAGATGGCTCAATCAGAATTATACAAGACATTGGTTGTTTGTAAGATACAATATTGTTGATGTTGATGTTGCAGCCAGTAGCCTAGAAATACTTAGCTGAAAGCAACTGGAATGTGTTCCTATCAAATGGATTGTTTCAATTATCCTTGTCATTTTCTCAGTCTTCATTTTGTTATGTAACTCACCATGGGACAACATGTACAGTATTCTTTCTCAGAGTAGAACATTTCTGTATGAAGGTGGCATGTCCAGTTTCAACTCAGTGAAATTTAATAGTCTATATTATCATGTTTCAAGCAAGGAATCCATCCTTCGATTTTTCCATTTCATGCTATGAATGTCTATAGAAACAATGTATGCACATTTTTCAAGATTGCAGTACATGGAGTGTTTAATGCCTTCCACATGAAATTGGCATTTCTTCTCTCTCTGACTGAATTGCCACTGATTTTAAGACATAAGAATATGCATAAATAACAATCTTATGCATTTATTGCTATGGTTGTTATCATTGTAACAACATGCAAGGTTGGCATTGCACATTAACTTCCGGGAGAAGAAAAAAATGGTGGCAAGGGTACATGGTGCAGTCTTCACAAATCCTAGAAACTAGGCAGAAAACAATTGTAATGGTGCTGCTCTAGGATTGGAGTACATGATCTTTTGGGGCTGTAGGAGGAAGGGGAGAGTTACAAATGCTGCAGCCTTCACAATCACCAAATAGTCATTCATGCCATTTTGATAGGTTAAAATGACACTTTTCTTGTTCCAGGAGATCATTTGCAAGAACTGGTTGCCTTTCATCGGCTGGCAACTGTATATTATTTTCTGCAAATGTATGAGATGGCTGAAGATTGTTACTTGAGGACACTCTCTTTGCATTCACCAGAATTGCAAGGGGTTCAAGAAGCCGTATATTATTCCAAGGTTTACTGCCGACTGGGAGATCTCACTCTGCACAAATTAAAGGTGAAAGACAGCATCTGTGATGTCTGACCTGTTGCATTTTAGTAAAGATGCTCTGATTAGATTTACTTTGCATTGAAAAATGAAGCATCTTGTGAGAATATTGAATGCTCACTTGCATTTTTTGCTCCAGTGTCAGCAACTATTCCATCTTCTGGACCTCCAAGTCACTTGGTTTAGTTAATACCCTTGGTTTTCAAAAGAGATGTACTATCTATTTCAGGCTGATAGTCAGATTTTGGCCTTTGAATGACAAATCAGAAGGATATGCTCCAAAACTAGGACAAAAACTAAATTTTATTTCAGTTGAGCTACTATGATCCTTTCTTATATATTTAATAATCCCCTCATCTTCTTTCAAATTAAAATAACCACTTGGTTGCACTCTGGAGTACAGTAACCAAATCTAGAATGCAAATATCCAAGGAATCACTAGATCTCAGCAGAAGCCTAGAATTTTCTGAATCTCTTTCCTGCCATCTAATGGTTGCCTGACCTTTTCAGTCCAAATCTGTTCAGCTGTGCTTTGGAAGGGTTCTGAAGCTTCACACACAGCTTGGAAGGACTCCATGTGGCTTGGGATGCAGGCTGTACAACTGTGATTGATGAGATGTCATCCTGTTGTCCTCTACTTTTGATGCCCTCCTTATTTGTCCTGCAGTTGCCACTCCCTTTTTAAACACCCTTGCTTTGGATCTATCTTCTGATTTTCAGCAGTTCCACCATGTGTCTTGGAAACTTCATATATATTAATTGTTATTCCCAGCAGTCAAATCCTCACTCATTTCCTCTGGGTAAGTGGTAAAGTGGGAGTGCTGCTTGCCACATCTGCCTCATTATAGCCCAAACTGAAAAAAATTGCTTGAGGCACAGTGATATGCTAGTTTCAAGATTTCTCTGTTTTTAAAGGGGGGGGGCTTGTGTGTGTGGGGGGGGAAGTCTCTTAGAATCATAACATCATAGAGTTGGAAAAGGCCACTTAAAGTACCAGTCTGTACTGATTAATTGTTGAAAGGTTCTTCTAAAGTTCTTAGGCAACGGACCCTTTTTCCTTTGATCCCTACCTTGCTTTCAGCGTTGACTAGAAGTAGCTTCAATGCTTTGCTTTTTATCTCTTTCCTTTTATCCTCAGGATGAACAAGATGCAGCCAGTTATTTTTTCTTGGCCTTGGCTGCTGCCACTGAGTTGGATGACTGCAGTTGGCAAGGCAAGATCCAGGCCAAGCTGGCTGAAATATTTACTGCTTCCCAAACAAATAAGAGCCCAAGAGGGTGGACAGCGTATCGGGCCCGATGGTTAAGTGAAGGAAGACATGATGTATGATACGTCTCCTTATAGAACTACAGCTCTGAAGAAATGACATTCATCATCTTGCCCCTCTGCTGAGAAAAGAAGAGAATCAGCATCTGGTGCTTCCAGTTCTTGTGTTTCTGAATGAATAGAAATCCTGTGGACTGTTGTAAGCAGATGTACACTTGCCATCAGCTCATGTGTTCTGAATGAAAAAGGAAGCTCCTTTTTGTATTTTATCAGAGGCAGCAACATGTAAAGAAGACTTTACTCACGTGCATGGGCCTTATTTAAGAAATAAGAGGATGTAAAAGAGGCAGTTAAAGCAAGATAATGAATGCACAAAGTGGGAGCTGGAAAGATATGGGGGTGCAGGTTGTCTGCGCTAAGAATGAGGCTGATTCTCAGAGACAAGCACCAAGAGAATATTCAACTTGCCCCCGTTCATCCTCAGTGCCAAAAGGCAAGGTGCCTTTCAAGACAGATGAACAGAAAGCCTCTGACAGACGGAGTAAAAGAGAAAATGAGAGTGTGAGAAAATGCTCTTGTGGCAAATGTGATTCTTCGCTCCTGTGTATTTCATCAGTTATCTGTGCTTAGACCAGCTAGGGGGCAGAATCCACCCATCCACGGCTCCTCTCAAAAAGCTGAGGAGGGCCAGATCCATACTTCGGTGGGAAGCCATGATGAAATCCCAGGGCTGTAAGCTAGACTATGAAGTAAAAAAAAAAGCATCACAACAAATTGCTTCTGTGTTATTGTCAAAATAATGCAAGAGCATGCACAAAGTCACCAAGTGCCAAGTACAACTCAGCGACTTATCAGTATTTATATTTACTCTGGTTTCTCACTCATATCTGTCTCACACTGCAAATAAACTAAATTAGATCCCAGAAGTCTCCTTTGGAAAGGATGGAACCCAGAATACCATATCCTAAATACGGCTGAGTCCTGCACAGGGGTCTCCTTCCTTCTTAGTGGGTTGCATTGCCAGATCTCCACTGATCCTGAGGAAGAGAGGAAATGGCTCCTGTATATCCAGAGAAGGAGGGGCATGACTGGAAGCCTCTTGGGAAAGCACGCTTGGCCAGGTGTACTAGGCCTCCATACTGCTGGTGGGTGACTGCAAAACTTCAGTATTTTCAGAGTCTTTCTCTCAGTCACATACCCTTGGGAAGAGCATGCTTACAACACCACCATGGCTCTATTTGACACGTAACTCGTTGGATTACTTTGAGTCAGCCACTTGCTCTCTGACCAGCCTACCTCACAGGGTTATGAAGGGTTGTTAACAAGCTACAAATGAGATGACCTCTGTGCATGATGACTTGACTTGATCTCTTTAGACAAAGGTCAGGAAATAAAGACACTTTTTTTTTTTTTGGCCTGTAAACCATTTATTGTCCTCACAACCAAAAATCAAACATTTGTTTTCAAGCTGTTTTTCAGAATAGAAGTGTGCTTTTTAAAAGAAAAAAGAAAGGAAATTAAACTTCTAAGGATGCCTTATGTTGTGCTGGCTTTGAGATGCTACAGTTTTATAGAATATCCGATAGCCCCACCAAGTATGTTCAGTTCTAGGTGTTCTCGGTTCCAAATGAGAAGTCAAAGCCAGTTGTCCAGGGCTTCTGGGAGAGGAAATATTTTGATCTGACCAGGGTTAAAAATGGGAAATGGAATTGAGATGGCTCATTTTTGATGTTGTGTGGTTGGACTGTGCTTCCTTTTAAGTCAGAGTACAAAGAGTATATCTGTCCTCTGAATAGCATGCCAGAAACAAGATCCATAAAAGGAGTGTAGCCAGGATTACATCTGATTTAATTCAGTTTAAAATTAAATGAATTAACTGCAGTTACAATAGTAGGATAACTCCCCAGTCCCTGAATTGTTTTTCCTTGAAAATTATGATCAGGTGGGAAATTTGGAGCAATTCTGGGGCTCAAAGGCTTTAGGGAACAGCAGACTATGCCCCTCTGCTTTAGATCACTTTTCTTCATGAAGCATTCTTGAAATGTCTTGCCTTATGGCATTCCTTTTAGATCCTGCTATGCAGAAATGCAAAGCAGACACAACTTCACCTTATTTTGTTTTTTTCAAGAATATTCTAGTGGAGCTTGTCCATTCATTTCCACTCTGGGATGAATTGGATGTCTCAGCATTTTAGAGCAGAGCTGACTCCCCATGCAACAAATAATGATCGTGCCAGATCCTGTTTTGAACATTAAGGAAGAAACACAAACCAGTTGCAAGCTTTGTGTCTCTCTGTCTACTGGTGAGACCCCGGGGGACTTCCACTGGCCTGATTTATGTCTGAATGTTGAATTTTGCAAAAAGGTATGAATCAAAGTGGTGAAGGACATGTCACAAAAAAACTGGAGAAGTATTCATAAAACTAACAAGGATTGTTTATGAACATCTTCTCGGTTATGCCAACAGCCGTCCTGAAGCAGGATAATAATTCGAAATTCTTCCATTCTCTACAAAGCATTGCTGCAGCCATTTGCAATGACTTCAGAACAAATGTTGCAGCACCTAAATAACTAAGTATGAGAGGGTCATGGCTCAAAGTTAGACAACATGTTAGGTATGCAGAGGGCTCCAAGCACAGTCTTTATTACCTTGCATGAAAAATGCCTCCAATAGCAAATCTGCGGAATATCTGAGAGACCCACTGAACTTCTTCTAGACCTAATGCTAAGCCACACGAGCTAATGGTCTGATTCTGTACAACAGCTTCTTCCTATGTTTATATATGATCCTGGGTGTTATCACTGGCTAAACAGCTTTCAGTGTTTCCTTTTTACTTGTACCATAGCTCATCTCACCATTAGAGGGCAATAAAGACAATATTTTCAGTTCCTTCAGCCCTTTCAGTCCTTATTAAGATCAAGAATCTGTTAAGAAATTGATAACGGCTTCTAAGCTGCCTGAACTTTTAAGACATATCTGTGGCTGGACATGTTGAGAAACATTCTCCCGTCGACATTTTTCTGTACATTTCTCTAAATCCTATACAAATCAAATTTCCTAATGTTATGCACACAAGCTGAGATTTGTTTTCCTACTCTCTTTTGAAAAAAGAAATCCACCAAAATAAAAAGAACTTGCTTCTAAAAAACCAAAAGAATTAGGCTTGATTGTTTAAGGGAGAATTTAAAAATAATCCATGGCAAACTTAAATGATGTAATGGTATAGTATGACTTAAGCCAGAATATATTATTTGAATAACATTTGTTCTTTGAAAAAATACTGAACCACTTCAAAAGACTTCATGCCAGCATGCACAATCACTTTCTCAAACACGCATGCACATACCTCTCCTCCCTTGTATAGAACCCTTGGATTTACTCATTCACTGAATTTCTGCCCGCTTTGACTTGTCTGGACAATGGCTGGAATGGCAGCTGGAAATAAGAGGAGAAAAGGCATTTTGTTTTTCTGCTCTGGGCTGGTTTCTGCCTACATCAGAAAGACGAGTTAAGACAGCGCCTGCCTGCAGTTCTCCGTAGTAATGCCAGGCCGGTCTGCCAAGCCCCCAAAGCCCAAATCTTTATTTGGACATACAAGTATATGGCTGTTTATTTTACTTCTTTGGAGTTCTGAGTGGGTTAATGTCAACAATCTGTGGGAAAATCTATGGGGCACTTAAATATGCGTCAGGAGCTTTGTTTGGCTTCTTTTCTTGGTTTGTATTGCTCTTCTTTCAAAGAAAAGATCTACTCTTGAGACCCTTTCTCACAGTTCTTGAACATTTCAGTTTGGCAGTAACAGAAGTACTTTCTTAAGTGGCTGCATTTGCAAGTGCCAATATCTGGAATGAGGGCAACATTGATTCAAACAAGATTTTTTTCCGGAGAGCTGGTGGAATGTAGCGGTTGGACTTAAAGCAGGGAGATCCAGTTTCAAGTCACTGCTTGACCACAGATCTCACTGGGTGTCTTTGGGCCAATCACTCTGTCTCAGTGAACCCTGTGTATGCCATGTTGAGCTTTAAAAGAAAAAAATATATAAATAAAATGAAGCATTCTTCAGTTTCAGTATAGAAGCCCATTTTGGTGGCTGATTAGAGATCTTACTGAGATATTTTTCCTGAAATTAGAGATTTTACTGAGGTTCATTGCTTTCCTGACTAACCCTTTTGCACTAACAGAGGCAGAAAGAGTGGTGGTTAGACCCAAAGATCCTTTCAGTATTGTTTAACTGGTGTGCTCTGTGCTAAGATACAAGTCCAAAGCTAAGTGTGTTTGCCTGAGAATCAACCTCACTGAAATCTGTGGGGATAACTTTCTAGTAAGCATGCCTTAGTAAATTAGGACGATAGTTTTTGCTCTCTTTAAATATACTTTTGGTAGCTGGAAATTCTCACACTCCAGTAAAGTAAGTGAACATGCACACGAGCTAAGAATGTGACTCAAGAACGTTAACCTTGTATGCCCCCTTTAATTCATGGCACAGCCTGGGAAAAATCAATAAGGGGATGACTCTCCCATTTCAAAGTGTCCCATGTGGCACAATTTCCTTTCCCTCCTTGACAAATCTTAGTTATCTTCTTAGTGGGAACCAAGACCTTGGTGCCCAGAGATGATCTTTATATGCAAGAGCTACCCCAGTGATTTGAATATACTGGTAGAGAAGCCATTCATTCAAAAGACATCCATATCAGCCTTGGGTAGTCCATGGAAACTTTTTCCAGTTGTCACTATAATCTCTTTCTGATATTAAATTTTTAAAAACACTGTCTTGTATGGAGTGGGAGTTTATCCCCTTCCTAGTACAGTATCTGGTATTATGATTTCTCTTATGAATTACTAGTGATGAAAAATGAACTGCTGAAGTTTCTGGTAAACACCAAGTTGCTGGGTCCATACAAATGAAGACTGGAAAAGGAAGATAGTTGAAGGCTGGAAAATCTGGATGATCTCAGGAGCTGAAGGATAGCAAATGGAATGAACATAACACTGTCATGTGAAGAATAAAAGAGTTTTGCCAACTGCTGCAGATTTATCCTCTGGAAATACTATAGTGGAACTGTAAGCTTCACCCATTTTTCCTCTTATAATTACAGTAGCTTAGGAGCGTAAAAAAACCTATAAAATAAAAATGCAGAATTAAAGTTAACCCATTAAAGGTAGAACTACCATTAAAAGTTATGGAAGGAAATAAATACTGTGGTCGTGATCATTCACTAAAGCTCATTGGATAAAAGATGTTGTACAAATGAATGCAACTGTATATTATGCTGGAGAGGCCCAACATTTGGGGTAGGCTAATGGGCACATGTGAATTTCAGGAACATAATTCAGTGCTGTGGAATATATACACTATGTGGCCACTCATAAAACACCCATCTCCCCAAAGGCAAACTCTGGTGACATCACTCCTGCCATCCTTTCAAGCTCCCAATATGTTCTCTACCACTTCTTACCTTGCCTTCCCCTCACCCCCACCCCCCAGCAGAAAAGCCCAGTTACAAAGACTCCTAGGCTGTAGCTACCTACCTTTTATATTTTTGAAGATCCTGCAAGCAAACATAAAACTTTGTAGAGGATGTTGCCCAATCTCATAAAGTTAAGCACGTTCAGACCTAATTAGTACTTGGATGGGAGACCACCAAGAAATTTTATGAAGATAAAGTCAAAAAAATCCAAAAATCCAAAAAATCAACATTATCCCAAACCAGAAGGTAATAGGTAAACTACTTTTTAGTGTTCCCAAAATAGCTACGTAGATGTGTCCATATTGCCATTAGCTTGACTTGAAGGAGGTTGGGTCACATTACTTTGCAAAGTAACTTCATGGGACTACGCAGGAAGAGGTCCAAAAAGTCAAGATGATGGGTATTTTTTACAGACGTCTTTGATTGCATAGTCCTATCTTCTTTATTCGAGTAAGTGTAAAAAAAAGCAAGAAGGGGATGGAGGGCAGGGAGAAAATGATCAGAAGGACAGGTGAAAAATCTGGGGTCGCTTGGGCAAACTGCCAGATGACCTATGACTTCACAGCAGTTCTTACTTTGGGAAAATGCTGTTACCCTCACAACGTTCCAGAAATGCATTCCACAGGCTGGTTTTATAAGGTATTCCTTCCCATAAACATCACATGCTTCTCGAGTGACAGTCCTAGAAGTTGTTCTACCCACATTAAAACTAGATGCAACAGATAATTAGACATCTGAGCTAATAAAATCAGCAGCTGCAATTTAAATTCTGTCCAAGATGCTAGAAAATAAACAGATAACAAATGGGCTGCTCAAAAACTCTGGCATGATGGCAACTATGATGGTGCAATCAAAACTGCTGATTTTTTAGGTGCATTACACATGTGAAACAAATAGGCAAAGCTTTGATCTCACCCTCATAGCCCCCATTTTTACTTTTTTTGACCATCCCATGTAGAGACCTCTGCAAATGAATATAGAAAAAGTGTCCAATTGTGCCTAGCATGGGATGAATTGTGTATGATATCTTCCCCAAACCAATCCTGGCAATATATAGTAGATGAGTCAGAATACTGGAACTTCTTTTCTCATTTCCTCAACAGTGATTTAGTCGAGTTAGAAAAGAGACCAATGACTTTATAACTGATAAAGCATGAGAAGGCAACTTTTTAAGGGCACCAGATTTCATTTTTAAAAATGTTTGTTGGATTTCTACTGGGTACAAGTCTGAACCACTCTGAGGTCTACATGTGGCTCAAAGGCTTGGTTGTCCACCCCAATCTTAATGAATAATTTTATTTATTCCTCACATTTATATAGTCACCCATCTCACAGAACATGACTCTGGGCAGTGTACAATAAAAACAAACCATAAAGCAAGCATTAAAACACCCCATAATAATAATTAGAAAATCAATTATTAAAAAAGACTAGAAGAGAGCATCTTCGGTGTTAGACAACATAGCCATCTCAACCAATTACCATTTCCCTGAGATCCCCAAGCCGGTTGGCGTAGCCATGTTTTGAGGGATTTCTGGAAAGCTACCAAGGATGGGGCCAATCTACCTTGGGGTGGGGTGGGGGGATGATGTTCCACAGTGTGGATGCCATGGCAGAAAAGGCCTGCCTCCTGTCCAATTACAACCTGGGGATCTGGATAACAGCTTTACATAGCGCTCCATATCTTATGAAGAGGGGACCTACTTTTAAGTATTTTTACAAGGAATCTTTCCCAACCTAATTATTTACATATCTACATGAAGATAAGTCTGGCAACTATTGTGAAATACAGTGAATAGCTGCAATTCCATTTGATGGTTGTAAAATCATATTTGAATAAATAATATAGCCAGTTCAGGGAGAACCTGAATAGATTGGAAAGACTAAGAAGAAAAAAATGTACAAGGAGAAAGCTGGAATGTTTAAGGATTCTGGAATTAGAAAAACTGGCCAAAGGATTCATTAGCATGTCAGAAGAGTAATAAATCTGCTAATGTTGCCAGAAGTAAACAGGGTTAGGAGCAATAATTCTACAGGACATGGCACATTTGTATTGAGTCTGATAGTACTTAAATATGAAGAAAGCAAGAAGAAACAGGCATCCATGTCATTCACATGGTAGATCTTTTCAATTAGCACTTGACAAACTGGCATTTCCAAATATTTAAAAGGTTACCAGAAAGGAAATAAAAAGAATTCCCCTAAAGGCTTTATTAGAGTGACAGAGCAGAATTTAGAAAGACCCTCAAGGAGTGCTGTTTTGTGGCTGCAAGAGCATGCCTAATTTTTGCTAGGCCCCTCTTTTTCCCAGTTGCTATTCAGAAGTCATCTTCTGCAGCTTTCTGGATAGTCTTCCATGTTTTCTTCCATGTTTCAGAAGCAGCTTCTGAAGCCCACAAATGGCTGCAGAAGAAAGTGCATACTGG